TCTTCGATTTTGTTTTTATTTTTTGCTTATCCAAAAGAGTTTCAATGGCTCTCAACCTGAATTCATAGCATATTCCTTGCTTCCGATCACTTTGACGCGGGAGGTTCCCTGATGAGGCTGAATCGAAATGATAAAACTAGACATTCCAATTATTCTTAATTAAGAAAATGTTCGGATGTCATAAGCCAAACAAGTCCCGTGTAGCTGAATCAGCACCACTGTGAAAATACCTGTGTTTCAAAGGTCCACTTGGCTCCCCTGCCATACACGAGGCAAGAGACCGAATAGTGGGACGAGAGCCTCTGAAATTAAACCCAAAATGTGGCCACTTTAACTTGGGGTCTCAATAGCCAAGCAAGTCCCGTGTAGCGTGTCTTCGCAGAATGCTCGGTAAATAACTCGGCTCGGCTGCAGTACATATGGAATGCGGAGTTCTTCAAAAGAGAAAACGCGCATTGCGTCGAAAGCACGTTTTCGATGTGGGTTGCAAGACACTTTGTGGGGTTATTGAGCGTCTATACTGCCCCTCGAGCTCATTTAAATGAACACTCAACTTTAGTCAGTCTGGTATTGTTGATGAATGTTTTATAGTATCTTGGTGCCGGCTGTTGTTAAGATGTGGTCTTGCATATATCCGCAGCACTTCACTTACATTATGTAACGACTAGTTTCTATTTTATTATGGTTCGGCGTTTCGGGGGCCCAAACAAAATGGCTTATTTTTGACTCTCATTTATGTTGCTCAACACACAAGTTTCGGGTAGTTTGATTCTCGTGAAATTTAAAACTCGCATATTATAGAAGATAGAAAGACCCAGTTTAACTAAATAAACTTTGGTGTGAATGGAGTTAAATTAGTTAAATACCGAATGCCTAAACATTAAAACATAAGATCCCCAGGAGAGTAGAGTGAAGGCATTTAACCCGTGAAATGAAAATTATTAGTCAACGTGTAATAGTCAAATAGACACAAAAGAAAACAATGGAATCAGGGTCTTCTAAAGTGTGTTAGTCTAATGTCTATTTCACGGGTTTAATGACTTCACTCTAGGCTCTACATTCATACCTCTCCCCTATTTCACGCTCCACAATTAATTGTTTAATTATAACATAACGAGTTGTTTAATTCACCGTTTTCGGCGCTAGCTTGGATTGTGTTACGGTCACCAAAAAGTTCGGACATCGGTACAGATTTCTTTAGTTAGCTCTCTTAAGAGCAGTAAGAAAAGCTTCTATCAAGCTAGAAAAATGATATTTACTTGTATTTAGAAAACTAGCTAAACGAACCAAGTAAATAGTTCATTTAAAGTCAGTACATTTGTAGGGAAATTCAAGAACGATGTCCGAACTTTTTGGTGACAGTAACACAATCTAAAACAATTTATACTCCGTGATAGCCTGCACTGCATCCGGAATTTTCTTTCGTAAAGACTTTACGAGTAAACGTTCGGAGGCACGCAGGCTAACTCCGTGACGGCTAGAAAAGGTGAAGGGTACTACATATTTTTTCAAAGTTCAAGTAACTAAAGGCAAACTCGTAAATAACATTCTTGGTTATGCTAATGGTTAAATATTTGCTAATGCTAAAAGGTCAAACATCTCTTCATGGATGTACAGTTTATCAATGCGCGGATAAAACGAAGGATTCAGTCCAGAATGAATTCCGATTCTACATTTTACCAGTAAATAAGTCTAAAATGGAACACCTATGCATTAGAACCCATATTATTAAGTTAAGGTTAAAGCATTATATGGCTGAAGCAGCTTGTTGAATAGAATTTGAAAGTCAAAATATAACTATTGCACAATCTTTGAGACAAGACAACAGTAGAGTTACCAAACTTACCTTACGGTTTTGGAGCAAACATTCGCTCCATTCGTCGCTAAATTCCCTCTGCTCTTCTGTACAACAAGCAACACGACTATGCACAAACCAAACACAAAAAACTTACAAGTTCCTAGCGACATGGTCTAGCTAAAATGAAGAGACAAATAAGCCCACACTCAACAGTTCCAGCTTCAGCAAGTCAGAGCCGGAAATACAGCCGGCAGGAGTTAAAAATTAACCTATCTGCTTTCGATACATGATCACCTTGTAATCATAATGGTTTTAGACAAGTGACAGTAACCTGTCACTCAGGGATCGTCTGAGGGGTGGATTAAATTAGAATCTGAGAAACAAGCTAGAACCCTATTTTTTCTTCCAACGCAATCAATCCAACAGGTTTCTAAACCCCTTACAACTCAAAAACCAAGATCAGTACTTCCTGAACATGTACCTCTTTATACCATGCAACACTTTACTCGTTGAAGACTTTAAAATGCTTCGCTATTTTTATTGATGCTCACGCAATATTATGTATATTAATTTCATAGTATGTTGGTATAGTTCGTTACGGTCAACCTTCTAAATTGCATATATTTATATATGCATAAAAATTGGATTTTTTGTGACGTTTTTAAACCGAATTCCGACAGATCTATCTCGGATCTCAGTGTTTGTTTCATCTATAACCTAATTGAACCCTACTGATACTGGGAGGGGAAAAATGAAATTTCGAGTTAGATTTAAATGTGGAACTAATAACCAGAGCGAGATAAAAAAGCACACATTTACTGAAGATTCCAATTTTATAGAAGATAGCATTATAAAACTACTCGGCTTATTTCAATAAAATAATTATATTTTTTTATTTTATTTTTTTATTGTTATTACTATTTCATAGTCTAAACGTATCTGGTTTCTCTAATCAAGTTCATGTTTTAGCATGCCAAAAACGAAATATTATAGTTGAACAAGATCGATGGCTCATTGCATTAAACATTACACCTCCAGTAACGTCCAGGGAGGTTTGTGGAAATAATAGGAGTCTGATATAAAACACTACAAAACTTTGTAGTGGAGGGAGGAGAGAGGGAGTGTAGAGTGTTAAAAATAAACAAGAGTAACCTCCAGGGAGGT